CTGCTGAGATTCAGAAAGGTATGATGATGATCATGGGAATAAAAAGATCTCTGGATGTGAAGCATCTCCCGCAGCACAGGGAGGAACTTGTCATGTATTTTTGCTAACATGTTAAATTGGGAATTTTTAAATTTTTCTTGCTGGTGAGTTTCAGGCAGTGCGTGGGTACATTTCTTAGGCTTGACAGTTTTTTTTTTATGTCTAAAGGTTGAACCAAAATGCCTTTTGTGTCACAACCTTAAGGAATAGGAACCTCTCCCCCCACTCATTACAAATAGAAGAAGAATACAAACAGAGAGAGGAATAATGCTGTTTCCTAAATGGTCTGTTATTTTTGTTCATTACCATTCATTTATAATAGTTCTGAATGTACTTTATAGTGTTAAAGCACCAGTTTTCATCTGATGATAAAGATCTTTTATGAAGTTGTGTAAATTTTTTTCCTTCAGCCCTCCCACATTTTTATAAACAAATGATTACACATAAAACATTAAAAAAGAGACAAAAGGAAATAAAAACAAATACCCCCAACTTACAAAGACTAGGATTTTTCATGGCTCTCTAGTTTAGAGTCCTGGAGCTTATGGACTTGAAACAAATACATTTTTTTTTCTCTTTTCTCTTAACTTTCTTAAAAATCTCTAACAGACAAACACAATGATCTACCCAATGCATTGCACGTGGCTCAATCGACACATATTTTTCAATAATAATACTTTCCATCAAAAAACAAACACTTTTTTCTTCAAACCTACTGTCGATTATTAACATGTTCATCTAGGTATTATAATGCTGCGCTGCAGATGGCGATGGCGTGTGTCGTCTGATTCGCACTGGTAACAGTAAGGTGACAGGTTGTGGTGGGGGGGTGAGAGTTCAGAAAATAACTAGACTGCCAACAAGCTCATGTAGTAAAAGTTAAAAAGGAGCATCATATCATAAATATATATGTATAAGATCTCTCTCTCTGTCTTTACAAAAAAACTTTGCAGTCCTCTATAAAGATCTGTCCTAGGCCAATGGTTTCCACATGCACCAATGCTACCATACCCCGTAGCTTTAGCTTATATGTGGGAAGAGAACCTGAAGTTAAGTTTATTACTAATTGCATGAAGGGAATACAGAGGCACTTTCATATACTGTTATAGTCTTGATATATGGTTTTAGTACATAGAGCTAATGTTACTAGAAAGGCTGAGATCAGGGTCTCAGCCCTGTTTACTATCCCTGCAAAATAGAACCAACAGCTAGGCAGTCCAGTTATTTTGTGAGGTCGGCATTTGTTGGATTGTGTCATGATGAAAATAATACAAGTTGCAATTTCAATGTGAACATTTACAAAGAAAATATATTTCAAATTAGAAAGACAACTCTTAAGTGAATGAAAAACCATTAACAAAGGCAGTCTGGAGAACCAAATATAAAGGCTTCCCTTTCTTAATTTATGTTAGGTTGATGGTTTTCTGCGCATTTTTATGTGTGTCTGTGTGGATTGTTTCTGTCTGGACTAAGGGGTACAGGGTAAAATGATGCAAGAGATGCTGTCCATACAGTACGTGAGAGATCTGTGAAACTCCAGTTGCTGTTTTGCTTTGAAATCATGATACTTAATGTATTACTGCAAACCAAAGAAAAATGTTATGTCATGCAAGGAAAAGTTAAAACCATCGAAGGGGACAAAACCAAAACTGACAAAAAATCGCAAGAAAACCTCTACAAGCAAAATGAAAGCTAATAATATGAAGCCAAAGTTGCATGTGCATTACTGTAATCTGAATCCCATGTTTATGAATGATGAAGTGATATTGTGAGTGGCTCTGAAAGGTGGCGGTCTCTATCTACTGTATGCAAGCCTGTGTGTGTGTGTGTGTGTGTGTGTGTTTTGCGGAGCCAAGAATTAGCGCAGCTACAGCCCTGCAGTGGCAGCCAGTCTCGACTCACTTCTGTAATTATTCATCTGACCATCAGTGTGCAATCCTGTTCATCCCTTGTTAAAAATTAATAGTGCATAGGTGAGGGGACGAAAGAGCACATGTAGAGTTAGTGTTTTGACTGTATTGTCGTGTATTCACTCGCTTGCACTTGCCTCATGGCTATCACTTCTGCCACAACAGGACACCCTCACACTTTGACAGGTAAACAAAGACCAGCCACGTAGTGCATTTATGTCACACCATTGGATGGTGTCACTATGATTGGCCAATCAAAAATGAAAGAGACTCAGGGCTGAGCAAATAAAGCGGCATAGTCTAGTGACACGCGGGCATGTGGCTGTGGTCTCGGTGCGGACCCTGTGCAGCACTGAGCTCCAGGTGAGGTGGGAGGGGATGTGGGTCCGGTGGGGACCGTGCACCCAGAGGAGAAGCGTGAGGAGAAATACACAAAATGTGGAGGCATGCAATTTTCAACTTTCACATCCAACTTCACCAGTTACCACTATTTTTTGGATCTCCCAGCCAATGCATGGAGTTTCATTGTGGAGACAACAAAATAAAAAAATAACATAGAAAAAGAAACAAGTGTCTAATTGGTCATTTGTCAGATTACCATATTGTGTTTGCTTTCTGAAATTTCTCAGTGTGTGAGAGACAGTTCCTCATCTTCTTCCTCCTTGCATTCTGAGTTTGTCCACTCAATCTCACTGAAGCCTCCTACATAAAGGGGGATGAACATTCCTGTTCGAATTGTGTTGGATTGGGAATCCTCTTGGTGCGGGGTCGAGTTTTGTGGGCTCTGTAGTTGTACTTTGAATAGTGTTGGGGAGAGGAAAAGACCTTTTTAGTGTCAGCAGTCTGATCTTAATCAGCGGTGATCTGTTGGTTTTTTTTTCAAATTTCCAATTTTCATGACACAATTTTAGCTGTTGATTCAGAGAAGTCTTGTCAGAGGAACCAGGACTGTGGAGAAGAAAAGAAAACGCATTGACATTAGCAAATTTACACTTGGATTCAGACTGCTCCTTGCAAAAAAAGTACAGAAAATTACCTATGGTATGGACACACACACACACACACACACTCTTGGCATGCATGGAGACAGAAGTGGTGGGACATAGAGTAACACAGTATCATAAGGTATAAAGCATGAACACAGAACATCTTAAACTGACAGATAGCAAGGTCAGAATCTCTCACAAAGGAACATAAGATAAATCTGAGAGGTTGCATGGAGATTAAACAGACCAGAACTAAATCAAAATATTATGCCACATATTTGTTGCCTTTTGGTCTGGTAAATTTCTGGATAATGTCACTTCCTCAAGTTTATAAAAATAACATTAAAAAATAGTTCAACTGTTCACTTCCAGGAGGCATATGGAAGTGGTAACAAAAGGTTGTAAGTAGATACTAATTTGGATTAGGGGATCACAGACAAAACAGTTGGGAACCACTAACATAAAAAAAAAGAACTTGTATCCACTAGGTGGCCACCCACACCAGCTTATCTCCTTCACTTACAGCACTCGCTGAGCTCAGCTGTCCCATACAGTGTTGAAAAGTTTCTACCTGAACTTTAGCCCTTGCCTTTTTAACAATGCTGACTCTGGCTTTTTATTCATTAAAACACACATGTTATTTCAAAACTACAAATAGCATTATGGCAGCAGTTTTTGTGTCTGTCTGAATGGTTCCCAGTGAGCAAACACAGAACTTCTGTTGTGTCATGTGCAGTTTACATGTAAGGCGATCCTCCAAAAATGTGTCTTCTGTGTGGCCTCAGACTACACTGTAAAGCTATTAAGGGCAGCTACTCCAGGGATCCAGTTTCTCAGTTTGATAAGAAGGCACAGGCCAGGCTGGTCTGGCTGCCTCTGACATTTCGCAGGCCTCGGCCCACCATTACCAGCAAACCCTCTCTTGTCCCCTTATTCTTGCAAACTCAGAGGTTTTAACCTGATCTCAACCTTCGTGTATCCTTCTCCACCTCTGCCTCCCTCCTTCCTACCCATGATTCTTCGGTGTTTGTAGATAACTCCTCCTCCTGGCTCCAACTTCCCTTCTCTTTTCCTCTCTCTCTTTTACTCTAGCTCTCCCAGTGTAATCCTTGGCAGTGGAAAGTGGACCCCCTCTCCAAAACCCCCCTTCAAGTCCAAGTTCAACTGCCTATGACATCATGTCTGGTTGCTGTGGGCAACCAGACAGCCGGGACGTGACTGTGGCGTGCAGTGAGCTTCAACAACTCCCTCTCTCTTTTTTCCCTCGCTGTCTCCCACTCGCTCTTACTTTTTCATCCATGCTCCCATATCTCCCTTGCTTTATTTGCTTAGCTGAAGTTTCACCACCAGAGAGCTCTTCAGACCAGCTTTTCTGTTCTTGCTATGACAACAGTAGGAAGACTCTCTCCCTCTGTCTTGGCTAGTTAGCTAGCACGCAGCAAGGCGGGCTGGCAGTGCTGTCGCCTGAACCTCTCCATATGCCAGTGAACAGCAGGATAGGCAGAGACCTTACTCACTCTGGCTGAGGCTGTTACTGACCTACTAGGCTCAGCTAACTGGGAGTAGTTCATACCAGTGCCCAGGTTCTCTCTGTGCATGCTGTAAACCTGGTGGAAATGTTCTACATGATATTTTTCAGTACTGTTTGATAAGCGAAAGTAGGAGACAATTAAGCGGTTCTGAACAGATGTAAGTTGGTGTAAAAAGCCCTGGTGTTTTTAAGTAGAGTAAATGAGCGGCAAGAGTTCTGGCACAGAGTGGAAGTGTATGTATGTACGCGCCTGTGTGTGCACACATTTGGATGTCCCCACAGTGCCAATACTACATCTGTGTGAGAGGGGTGCAGGTGGGGAGTTCAAAAATGTTAGAGGGAGCAGCAGGAGAAAAGAGGGTAGAGAAAGTGAGGGGGTGGGGTGGATTCTGCTGATGCATGGGGGGAGCAGAGCAGCCAAGAAGAGCTGTGCTGAGGAGGAATGTAGACTGTTTCCATGTGTGGGGAGGACAGGAGAGCCGAGTTGGCTGCAGGCAGGTGCGGTTAGCCCCTAATGAGAAAAGTTGTGTTGGTGATGGAGGAGGCCCAAGACACTGCAGCCCAGTGGCAGAGCACAGCCAAAGCTGAAACCACAATGTAGTGGCCTCACACACTGCACTAATACACACTGTGGGGCCTAGCAGAGATAAATCAACACTGCTGGAGCAAAAACTATCTGGCACTGCTTACATGAACTGAGGGGAAACTACAGAAACTGTAAACCTTTACTGAAACTAAAGGCCTTGATACACGGGCAACTCTTTGTGTTAGGTGGATAGGTTTTCAAACAGCTATCAGCTATTGTTTTAGACACTTTAAAACCTGTATCAGCTCATATATGCCTTTTGAAATAACAGTTTGGCTAGAAAAACATTCTTACAACTGATCATCACTGATTGCAGCAATTCGGGGTCATTGCCTGAGTATTGCCTCTGTATCACAGCCTTTGCTCTGAATGACATGCTTGTCCCGTTAAACCCAAAGAGGTCTGTGTTAATAGTGCGCTGGAAAGTCGCATCTACGTGCAACACTGTGCAGTCACGCTTGTAGTCAGGAATGAGGAAAAGGGAAGAGAAGACATAAAAACAGGAGGAGGAGGTGGATGGGTGGATGTTAATTAAATGAGGGAGGTTGGCGGGGTACCTGAGTCTGCTGGGGGATATTCAGAAAGTTGTCCCGTGTTCCGATGCCGACAAACCGGTTGGGAGCTGTGGAGCCTGGCGTGGAGTATGCTATAAACAGAGAGAAACAAGTGTGTACTGTACATGCTTTTACACACACACATACACACTAAGCTTATAGTAGAGTCCGATGCTCATTATCTACTGTATATATTTTACTAGAATAATAACTGACTACTGGGCTATGTATCACTGCCAAATTAATTACTGGGAAAATGCAAAAAAGGGTCAGGGATACTGATACCCTCTTAGTCAATTGTTGACTTTGTTTAATCTGTAGTTCTGTAAAGATTAGTTTTAACATGAAGCTATTTCCCCCATATATGCCTGTGCTGTTAGTCACACACGCTCCTCAGCAGCCCCTGGCCTCAGTAATAAGCCACTGTAATCACAGAAAACCACAGAAGGACTCACTGTTGGCTTAATAAAAGAGTGACCAATGGAGGAAGTGTATTAATCATCAGGGGATACCAATGCTCCATTTAAATTTAACAAGTTAAGAGGAGCATCTTATTACAAAGTGACACCATTCAGTGATGTCACAGGATCAAATTTAGGGCAGTTGTGCTCTCTGGACTCCAACATGGGGGCTGAGTAGTTTTGCTGTGCATGACTTGAGTGAAGTTGGGGGGATAGGGATGTGTGGGGGTGACAGTGACAGGGCTGGAAACAGATGCATGACTGAGGGTGAGAGTGCATCATAAGTAGGCTTTGTGTGCATTTTCCTTATGGCTGTAATTATGATATCTTGAGAATCAAACAAAATTAAAGGGGGAAGAAAAAATACAATGATAACAGTCACCGGAATGAGAAAAGAGACGGAAATATTTATTTATATAGGACGTTCATATAAATAAATAATGAAGTGACACGTTATTCTGAGAGAACTGGAAGGGGAAGAGGAGGAGAAGTTGATAGGACAGGAAGAGGAGAAAAGTCAAAGCAAAAGGAGGAGAAGGTGCCCCGGTTGCTCCGTCCAGTGCCCCCTCTCGGTGTGCCTCTCCCGTGGCCCGACTCTCGCACCGCACCTGTCAGGTTGGAACCAACCAAAACCTCACCGCTCCCTGATGACACTCCTCTCTCCTGCTCCTGCGGTCCAGCACTACTTAGACAGGTTTGATTAGATTCTATCATTCATGTTTAAAGATCCTGGGTTGTTCCTGTGATACTGCGATTTCCATGTTTTTGTTGCTCTCAATTTTTAATTGTTGTGAGATTTGTGTGAAGGTTTGGAGGGAATTGGGTGGGTAAAGTGGGGCATGATGTTTTTTTTTTTTTTTTGGAGTCCACGCCAACTGCCCTAATTTTGTTCCCTTAAAAAGATAAAAGTGAAATAATGGAAAAAAGAAACAAAGAAAGGAGGTTGCGAGTGTATCAAATAAAGAAAAGAAGAAAGCAAAAAAAAAAGAAATGGGAGAAGGGGGGGAATTGTATTGCCGCTGTCACAAACAGACATGCAAAGTCTGCATTGATCAAAGGCTTGCGGCTACAGAGGCAACGTGCACAGGGCCCTGCTCTGCTCTGCTCCCCCAAAACTACAAAACACATCAAAAAGAAAGGAGAGAGACTACACTGCCTCTTGTGGTGCTAGTAGGAAACCCAACACCAGAGTGAGAGAAAAGAGAAAATGCAAAGATTCTGAGGAAAGCGAAAGGGCAGAGGAAAGAGGCTGAGGAGAGTTGCAAAGTCATGAAGAGAGAAAAGGAGACAGAATTTCAGAGCAAGTGAGAGCAGGAGATAAGAGAAGAGGATCTCTGGTTGGGCAAAGGCGTGGCTTCTGCCTCAACAAAATTGGATCTTGCTGGTTCAGTGTTGTTGCATACAGTCCATAAGGTGATGGATGAAAAAGGAGTGATGCTCCTGGGGCTGCTGAGTGTCTGACTGATCAGGCTGCAACCTTATTGTAAGCAGTCAGTCAGTTAAACTATAAAAAGACTTCTGTCATTATAGAAGTCCCAGAACTATACTTTTTTTAAACACAGAAAAAAGACAGGGAAGCTGTACTTCAAATAAATACTCAAAATTCTACGATGTAACTAAATCTGCTCTAGAATAACAAACTGGACGTAGGATTGCTTGGATCCGAGGACAGATTAGCTGCCAGCTAAGAGCTAACAACCTACAGGGACCTAAAAATGATTAGGACTGGCCTCTGTGAGAAGTTTGTGGGGAGACTGGGGCAGTAATGGGGTTTGTGGAAGGGAGTGGGGGGTGACTTACACAGAGATGCGGGTGAGCTGAGTCCGCTGTCAGTGGGTGTGCTGATGGTTTTAGAGTCGGGCATGGGGAGGGGCACAGGGCGCGCCACCGGGGGTGGCGGGGGCAGCAGGAAGGAGCCCGGCATTTTGCTCTGGCCACCTCCATTAGGCTGCAGACGGACCATACAGACAGGGTGAGCAGGATACACCCCGAGAATACACGGCGCACAGGGAGCCAAACACACACGCAACATACAGCCACACACACAATGTCCCATGAAAGCGCAAAACACAAATATATAGATACCACCAGAAACCACACAAGTAGTCTTAAACACAGTCAAACAAACTAAAACACGCATCTGCACACAAGGACAAGAGAAATCACCAAAGTCACACAAATTTAAAACAAAACACACAAAAATATAACAAGATCCGACCAAATGTAAGAAGGCAAGTAAGAAGTGGAAAAGTGATGAACACTGTCACGCACGAGGGGAAAAGAAAACCGGGGCTGTCACAGGAGAAGCTGTTTTAGGAATTGTAAAAAGAAGGAAAATTTGGCAAAGTGAAAAGGATGTTTGTGTGTGCGCAAATGTGCATAGTGTAGGTGCAATCTGTCAAATTTGACTGTGTCTTTAGTGTGTGAAGTAATGAGAACAAAGGACATGAAAAAGGGTCTGATAAGTGGTTTTAAAGTTTCTCAGACGGCCAAGTTTACAGTAGAGGTTTACAGTACTCCCAGAAACCCTCATCTCACTCCAATAACGTCTGCTGACAATAAGCTGTATACTGTGCCTGGATTTTCATGTTTGGAAACTCTAGCTTTCAGGATGAGTGTGAGCATGTTACTGGGGTTAAACAAGGAGCACCACGGTTCACTGACATGTCACTGCACCTTAAAAAGGCTCAACTGTGTCCAACAAGCACCTTTTCTCTGTCTCATTAGCTTCCTCCTCATCCACAGCCACTCACTAGATTCAGCTGACACATGGTGTGCTTTAATAACTAGTTTGTCAAAATGTGTTACTGATAACTATTTTTGATGATACATATGTTCAATATTAGCCGAACGTTTATCATGCACTGGGCTTGTTTATGATGAGAGATCACAGTGCAGACTGGATAGATCATTGTTGAGAGTAAAGGAATGTCACGAAAGATGGCAGTGGGTCAATGAGGGCTTGTTCAACAACTAGTGGAATGTGCTAGGAGTCTTAAATGTCTGCTTTGGGTTCCTCTAATGGATACCTAACTTTCTAAACACCGATCATCTTGATGCGTCTACAAATCCCTTACTGGTCCTGCTCAGCTTTGCAGCCTTGCTTCTGTATAGTAAACCCAGTGTCAGGTGCCAGGCTCGCCCAGGCCATACCTGCCCTTTGACCCATCTGTCTAAAAGGGCCCTTTTATATTTTCTTCCAGAACACAACTGACAAGCAAGATCTTCTCCTACCTAACTGCGTGACTATGTTAACTGAGGTGTGTGCCCTAAGATCATTTCCTCATCCCTGGTGAAGTAGCTTCACTTCATTAAAAAAAGCTGCTCTTTTCCCAGACATAGGTTCACTTGACCTTGCATCTTTTCTTGAATTCTTGCTTTCTTTCATTCTGCATCTTCTCTAGTAAATTCCACAAAAATACACTGAATTCTTGTCAGTGTCAGATTTTATGTCAACAAAGCCACCCCACCATCACATCACCCTTCTTTGCTGAACCCACAGATCACTTACCTGTGCGCTGGGCTGTCCTGTGCTGTCAGTGCACACAAACTGCACAAACTCCTTAAGTGGGTCCTGGTGGTGATGGTAGCGTATGGTGGGGTGGGTGAAGTATGGGCTGGACTGCTGGATGATAGAGGAGGAGGGAAAGTGCAGGGCTGAGGCTGAGGCACGGGGACTCCCTGGAAAGAAAAGTAGAAAGGGGATAGGAAACAGGAATGGGTAAGGGAAAGGGGGAAGAAGAATGTGAGGAGAACATACAGGAGACCAAAAGTAGGAAACAGGGAAGAAGAATGTGAGGAGAACATACAAGAGACCAAAAGTAGGAAACATACTGTACAATGAGGCTCAAGTAATTCATTCTACAGTGGTTCTACTCAAACAGATGTTAAGCATGCATAACACCCTACAGACTATCATATTAAGTACATTAGCATGCACACCTATGACAGTATATGAGACATGCATATGTTTTAACTAAGCAGCAGCACAGCTGGCATCAAAGACCAGGTTACCACTTAGGCTCGTTATTGTCATAACACAGAAAATAGCTGTGATATTCTCTTGTTGCTGACTGACTGAAGCTGTTTCTGCTTACAAATGACTGGCATTACCCGCGGCTGTTGGGCAACATCTGGTCCCATTCATTTTCTATATTCCTCTGTACCTCTGGTAAGCCAGGCATCACTACACATGCACGCACACACACACACTCACACACACACTCACAGTCCCATAAACACTAGAATTACAGTATTTTTTACTTTCTGCTGCCTATCCATTTCTCTCCCACTTAAACACATATATACACAAATCACAACAGAACCACACACACACACACACACGGGGTTCTTCCACTTTTGTTTTATTGCTTGTCGGTGAGGTGTAATCAATCAGCAGCATATCCTTGCTGTGCTGTTCTGCCCAGTAGCTTGAAGCTTGAGAAAGAAGCTCCCCTCCGCTCCCAATCAACCACAAAACACCTCCTGGAGACATTAGTCAGCCAGTCAGCCAACCACACACACACACTTACTCATATCCACACTAGGATCCACTGTCTGTCTGTCTGCTGAGATTCTATGGCTTTGGTAATTTGGCACACCAAACCAAAGAGGCAAGCTGCTAGGTGAGGGGAGCCTGGTGAACAAGCATCTGTGATTATGTCTGTCACCTACTATCTCTTGTCTATATTGTACTCACAACATGTGTAAGTGCCTGTTGGTTCAAACTTTTGTTCGTTCTGTATTGGTGTCCCCATCTTTTTGTGTTTGGGTTTGTGCGTGATTTGTGCGCATGTGAATTTTGTGTTTATGTGTTGCTCTTTCTGTTGTAGTTTACATGTCTTTTGTACATGTATTGGTGTGTGTGTGTGTGTGTGTGTGTGTAATTGCTGCCACAATGGTGGACTCTCCAGATTAGAATAATCAGACAACAGTCAGCCTGGCAGCTTTCCATGTCAGTCCAGAGCCAAAAGGCAGGGCATAAACCATCCAGTCCTTACCCGTGAACATCAGTACTAGACCTATACAGCAAGCGCTAACAGCTCCAGTCCATCCAAGGCAAGCCATGATCACTAACTGTGTCTTCCCCCTCTGTGTCTACCCCCATTTCTCTTGTCATCCTTCTTTCCTTCCCTCCCTCCCATCATCCTCCAGTCTCTTTATAGAACCAAGGCCTCCAAGGGACATTGTATTTGGATGGCAGCCATTTTAGCACAGAGAGTCATCCACTAGAGTGTAAATTTACACATGCACGCGTGCGTGCATCCGTGCGTATGAGCACAAAGACACCCATACACAATCACTAAACACTCTCATTCCAGCCTCCTTATTACATGAAAACCTCTTAACCAACATTTCACACACACACAGACACACAATTTGAAGAGTGTGAGAAGTTAGCTGAGGAACAAAGAAACCTGAGCTAGTACCTCACACCTCTTCAACTAACAGAAAGGAGAGAAGCAAATTTGAGAAATCAGTTCAAATGCAAAACTGAATCTGGTGTTTTGGATTCTCAAGACTGCTCTGTGCTGATAAACAACGTGAAATTCACAGTGCAAGGTCTGGCTCGGACTTTATGGTCTAAATATACTGTGGGGAGCCCCACAAGTAAAATTCAATACGTTTCAACATGGAGGGCAATGAATCCAAATGACCTTTACATAGTAGGTCTGCTTTGGCTGTGGACCAAACCATCCCTCTGAGGGACAACTGGAATGAGAGGGCAAGATAGAGAGAGGAGGACATATTTATTGCTTTGAAAAGTGAGACCAGCCTACAGGGACTTGTTGGCAAACTTGAGATCCCGGAGACTTTGGGAATTCTTTTACTGGAGAGGGGGAAACCATGTCAGTTATCCTATAGAACTGAAAAGCTCTTATGAGGACAACCTGCTGTTAGTGCCTCTAATGAAACATAACCTTGGAAACATTGTAGGTTACATAAATTTTTAAATTTCATCCACTACAAGGTACATCTGTGCAACTGTACAGGTTCAAATGCTGTACCACTCCTTTTTACTTCTTCTTTCCTCTTTTCACATCTGTATTTGCTCTATATTATTAGGACAAAGAGATGATGTCTTAAAGCTACAGTATGTAACTTAAGGTAGCACTAGCACGAAACTCCGGAGAATGCAACAAAACTTACTGATCAATACTACTAGTGCTATTCAATAGGCCGTTGATACACATTGGTCCCTAGTTGTCTTCTTGCCTAGATAATAAAGTATTCTCATATTTTCACTTCAGGCAATGTGTTGGAGATTCCTTCTTTGGTACTGCAGCTGTTTTAACCACATAAAAGAAGACATTTCCAAGTTTTTAGTGCTTGTGAACTATAGATACAATTCTACAGTCCTATTACAACATAATTCTTAAGTGTTCGGTCAACACACCATGAACACAGTATAATTATAAAAGGTTTTGTCAGTTTAAATGCAAGAACTGACTTCTAAAAACATTACAACAAATGCATGAAGCAGTAAGATATGAGGCAAATCAGTCATAAAGGCATGGATGCAGCAATGGTATCATGCAATGACAATATTAAAAACACAAGCACAAAGGTGATGGTAAAATGGATGGATGGATAGAGGCTGAAAGAGAGAGAGAGAAATTTATGCCAAGCCATAATGACACCAGTAACACTGGACAGGTGAAACTCTGAAGCCATATAGCTTCTAGTGGTTGCAACTGTAGGACTGGAAAGTTTTCTTTTGCTTTTTAAGCAAGTACATTTAGCATTTTTATTTTCAAGAACACGACTGTAGAATTGATGTTTTTTGATTGTTTTCAGGGGAGTTTTGGGATGTAATTATGTTAATCTAGGATCACGTTTGACACTCTCTTTCCTTCTCTCTCTTTTGGAAGAGGGGGGAACTGGGTATGTCAGGTTCATGGCAGGGCTCTCACCTGGTCTCACTCCTGCCAGCACAGGCAGCGGGTGGTGTGTGAACGCCATTCGGGGGGACCTCGTCTGGGAAGTCAGGGCGTTGAAATCAAACTTCCCCGGCTTCTTAAGTGAACCAGGCGAGGATCTAACAAAGGTTGATTTGGCTTAAAAAAAAAAAAAAAAAAAAAAAGTGGAGGGAAAAGGGAGGAAAAGAGAGGTGGTTTTAATTAACAAAATGTTGCTTATTTAATTGGCTGTGCTAAAAAAAATCAGATTCTTATTGAAGGGGACTTAAACAATCACGATTTTCTGATTAATTGTTTAATTTCTTCACTGACTGATGGCAGTGCATTGCTCCCTATCCTTCTGGCTGTTGCCCATTCACTCCTGACAGTTTCAAGGAGTCAATCAGAGGATGATGCAATCAGACAGCATAAAGATGTTGAAAAGACCCAAGAAATCTTGACTGTTAAAAATGGGGTTTTACAACCCCTGTGCTGTAATAAGTAATTCAGAGTAATACTGTAGGATTCCCAGCTCCCAGTCATATAATATGGACTGAGAACTATTTCATAGCCAAAGTGCGTGTCTTCAAAGGAAAAAAGGGGAATAAGAGTTAGAGCCAATCTGGTCTCTGTTTCAGAGCCAAAGCACAACTGTAGCTACAATAACCTCTTCTGTGCCACTGTATGCTTTTCTGTCTCTTCTCTTTCTCTAGGCTTCTCTCTCTCTTTCAGGTGCCAACTCCAGGCTTTTTTCTGAGTATGAGCATGGCCACCATACAGCCACAGTCAGCTAGCTGTGGTCTGGCTTCAGTGAAGCTCACAGGTTGGCTGCACGAGAAGAAGGCTTCATTCAGAAATAGCACACACTGTACAGTATGGACACGGCAGCTGCTGAGTGCAAAAGACAAGCAGACGGACAGAGAGAGGAGACGGAGAGAGAGAGAGAGAGAGGAAGAAGGAGGTGAGAAGAATGTGGGAGACATGAAAATATGCGAAGGAGCAAGGGAGCAAAAGAACAAAGCAGAACCTGTGAAAAATGCAGCAGTGTCTTTTTTAATGCGCTTCTCTGGCGACATGTATGAAATTGGAATGTCATAAGATGTTAAATATGGTTATTATCTCTCGCTCGCACACGCTCTCACTCAGTGGCTGAGCAAAAAAAAGCACAAGTACATGTTCAATCACACAAAAACAAAGACCCTTACCACACTGCAACATGTAACAGATGAAACAACAGAAAATTCTCTTCTTCAGCAAATTTTCTTCTAATCTTTCTAACAAGTGAGTGATGTGATAATGTTCCCTTTCTAAACTTTTTAGACCTTTTATTTTTTTTTTGGTAGTCTATTTCTGTGGCCCGTCTGCATCAAACAAGGCATTAAATTCGATTCTTCCTCAGTTCTCCAGCTGGAGATGTGTGAACGTCTATGGGAGTGTGGGGGCGTGTAAAACCTTCCCTCCCTGTGTGAAAGAGTTAAGTCTCAAGCAGGTGGGAGTGAATATGTGTGAACCATTTATGTCTTTAGCAGACGTATATCCCCCCACCCCACCCCAACTGTAGCCGGAGTGTGGGGGCGTATTGTACTGTCAGACAAATTCCAAGCATGAAGACAACACCAAGCCCACTTCTGACACCAATAGTTAGCAGTGATTGCTATGACACTCACACTGGTGGGAGCAAAGTAGAAATAAGAGAAGGCAGCAGAATTAAACAAAGAAAAGGCACCTGGAGGGGAGAGCTGGAAAAGACTGAGGTTTGGAAGAAAGAACCAGAAGCTTATAGATTAAACAGTTATGGTATCAGAGATGTACTGTAGTTATGTGCTTTTATTTTGGAAGTATAACATGAAACGCAATCAAGAGCCAGGAAACCGAAAAGATCAGATCAAGACTGACATCTGTATAAATATGAAGTTATAGCACTGTCACAATCACTGAGGGAATGTGAAAGACAACATTTTCAGTGCTTCAGAGACTATGCAATTGTCTGATCTGGTTTGTGTGTGTATGTGCCACAACTGCACTATTTCCTCTCCTGGCAAGCCTTAGTATAGCACTGGCAACCAATCAAGCGCTCCCTGTGTTGACCCTTCTGCCTCTTTGCACTAACAGGCCTGCCACCAGATGCGCCTCTGAAGCACACACAAACACACACACTCACACACAGATGGAAAAGATAGAAGATAGTGGTTTAAACAAGTGAAGAAAAGTCAGGGAACTCTCCTCTCGCCAGCGATTTAAACCACAAATGTAGGTCCAGTCATATCCCTCTCACTGCACCAAGCACAGCCCCAACCACCACAAGTCTCTGGTGTCTTGGGAAAATTTCACAATCATTTGGAACTAATATGAAATCATGGTTGTTTCGTTTGCCTCCAGTGCCCTCCCCCACCTCTCTTCCAGTCCCTGTGGAGCAGATGTCTCCGCATCCTCATGGATCCCAAGGCTGCACACACATGGAAACACCATCTGGGACCATGCTTCAGCTGGGTGTGTGTGTGTGTGTGTGTTTGTTGGATGTGTGTGCTCTGTTGGTTATGGAAGAAGGTGGGGAGTAGATGGAGCTGTGGACAGACGGTAAGGCGTACCTGTTTGTGTGTGTTTTCTGCTTTTTAGAAACCCCTTGATTTGTTTGTGTGTGTGTGCATGTGCACTTGTTTACATACCCCCCCACCTGGACAGGAATTCCCAGACGAGCTTTGCCTGTGGCAGGTGGGATCCTTTGGAAAATCGGATACACACCGTACCAAAATCACACATTCTCTACGTACTCCATCCTTGCTCTCTCAAGCCTATCACTCTAATTTTTGCCTTTGTTTCTTGAGTGTGGAACATGCTTTGTGCTAGCTACTGCTCAAACCTACTTCCAAACCCACACAAAATAAAAAAATGACTGATAATTACAAAAGGTTTTGGCTTTCTAATTCTTCACTTTTTGTTTTTGCTTTGTAGATTAATTGGATAAATGGTCCAGATTTGCAGGCTATTCTTTACTTCTATTTGCTAAACTCATTAGGAGGTGTACAAGGTTGTGTGTTGCATTTTGGAGAGCAAGGGGGTGGTAAACGGAAAGCTAGAGCGAGTGAGGGAGAGACGGGAAAAAGATGGGAGGTGAGGCTCTGATGCGCTAAGATGTGCAGCAGCTTCTGTTGTGGCTCTGATGAGCAGCCTCTTAATTACATTTACAGCTAAGTGGAGCAGGAGCGGGAGAGCATCCCCTCAGGCTCGGGTGAGAGTAGACTGGGGCAAAACCTAACCAGGGCTCTTGGCTCCTTTAGTTCACACCCTGGCAACCCTGCTCTCTCATAAGCCATCACCATTTAAGTTCTTCTTTCCTCTCACCCCCCCCACTTTCCATGTTTCCCATCCACCTGCCTGCTTTGTGCTTCCCTCTCCTCCTCCTCTCCTCTCTCCCTCCCTCGGGCCCCTCCTGCTGTACAGGTTTTCAATTAGACAGAAGGGAGACAGGGATGGAGGGGTGAAGGGAGAGTTATAGAGCAGGAGGATGGGTTTTACACCTCTCATCCACAGGCAGTAAGCGTCTTAATGAGGTATCTGAAGCAAGGGAGGGATGAAGCGACAGAGGGATGGAGGCAAGGCAGGCACCTGAACACCTGCAGGGGTGGGTAGCACGATAAGCAT